TGCATCTTCCTGGAGGTCCCTGCCTGTCTCTGCTGTCCCTGCAGATCCTTGCATCTTCTTGGAGGTCCCTGCTGTCCCTGCCGGTCCTTGCAGCTTCCTGGAGGTCTCTACTTGGTCCCTGCTGTCCCTGCAGGTCCTTGCATCTTCCTGGAGGTCTCTACCTGGTCCCTGCTGTCCCTGCAGGTCCTTGCATCTTTCTGGAGGTCTCTGCCTGGTTCCTGCAGGTCCCTGCATCTTCCTGGAGGTCCCTGCCTGGTTCCTGCAGGTCCCTGCATCTTCCTGGAGGTTCCTGCCTGGTCCCTGCTGTCCCTGCAGGTCCTTGCATCTTCCTGGAGGTCCCTGCCTGTCCCTGCCTGGTCCTGCCTCTCCCTGAAGGTCTCTTCCTGTCCCTGCTGTCCCTGTTTGTCCTTGCAAGTGCCTGCCCAGTCCTGCCTGTCCCTGCAGATTCCTTCTGTCCCTGCAGATCCCTGCCTCTCCTTGCAGGTCTTGTTCTGTCCCAGCAGGTCCCTGCCTGTCCCTGCCTGGTCCTGCCTGTCCCAGCAGGTCCCTGCCTGTCCCTGCAGGTCCCTGCCTCTCCTTGCAGGTCCTTGCCTGTCCCTGCAGGTCTCTGCCTGGTCTTGCCTGTCCCAGCAGGTCCTGTTCTGTCCCAGCAGGTCCCTACCTGTCCCTGCAGGTCTCTGCCTCTCCTTGCAGCTCCCTCCCTGTCCAACCTGTCTCTCCTGTCCCTCTCTCTTTCTGGACGTCCCTGCTTGTCCTTGCCTGGCCCTGCCTGGTCTTGCCTCTCCCTGCAGGTCCCTTTTTGTCCCTCCTGTCCCTGCTTGTCCTCTCCCTGCGGGTCCCTGCTTGGTGTCTGTGCAATCAATCCTAGTTCTACCAATCAGTTCATCGTATCGGGCAGTTCCTTTATTATTTCTTTTCTCTGATTTTTTCCTCCGGATTGTATCTGCCTCTCTCCCACCCCGTTTGCATACTCAAAAGCGCCGCACAACCCTGCATGGGGCAGAGAGGAGAGGGAGAGCTAGAGCTCGTGTGGCCACTTTCAGCCCAGCCTGGCTGGGAAAGGGTTTAAACCTTTAACCCCCAAACCTTTAAACCCAACGCCGAGGGGCGATGGCCGAGGTCGGCGGGGCCGGAGCAGCGGCCGGGGCTGCGGCACGTACCGTTGATGAAGTCCTGCTCTTCGGGCGTCAGGATGGTGGCCAGGTGGCCCCCGTAATGCCTGCACTGGGTCTCCGCGTCCTCCCAGCTCCTCCGGGTGGAGAAATGCTTGTAGCAGGCTCCCTGGAAGCTGTCCCAGCCGGGGCTGCACGTCTGCAGGGCTGAGCAGGGGCAGGGGGGAGAGAGGAAAGGGTCACAATCGAGGAGCCCAAGCCCACAAGCAAAGCAACACCCGAACCAGCCCGGGCTCCTGCACCCGTCCCCGCCGAGCTGAGGCCGTGCGAACTCACGTCTTTCGCAGGTGCTCCCTCCGTAGCCGGGCAGACACAGGCAGCCGACGCGGTCGCCGTACTCGGGGGAGGTCCACCCGCT